GGAGGGTGCAAGCTCAGCTCTAAGTCCAGTTGTCACTTTCAATCTCGTATCCGGCGGGGGGCGGACAGCCCACCATCCCACGTGAGAGTCAAACCAGCAACCTTGTTGCACACTGAGCCATCTGGCCACCCCTCGGCAGCTCACGCCTGCTCAGCTCAAGGTGCCGTGTTCAATCTTAGTTGTGTGTGTGTGGGGGGAGGCACAGCCCACCATCCCATACGGGTGTCAAACCGGCAACCTTGCTGCTAAGAGCGCGCACTCTCACCAGCTCAGTGGCAGCTCAGCTTGGGCGCAGCTCACTGGCCCATGTGGGAATCAACCCAGCGACCCTGTTACTCAGAGGTCCCACTCTTACCAACTGAGCCATTTGCCAGTCCTTCTGTTCATCTACTAATGGACATATATATATAGGTTGTTCCCACCTTTTGGAGGAGAGAATATATGTTATTTAATTGCTTGTAGTTATTTTGTAAATTAATTAATTATAAATTAATTAATTAATAATATAAATGGAGCCACCTTAAAATGGAACCAGAGCTGCCATCCCAGAGGAACTGCCTCACATGTCTTATGCCTCAAACCTTTGGAATTTTAAAACAGGGCAAAATAACCTTTGGACTGGCCTAAGCAACACTGTGTCCCAAAAAAATTGTTTGCAAGGATAACAAGAAAGCAGATATGTGACTACCAGACTGATGATTACCAGACTAAAAATTTAAAACATTATTTAGAATTGGCATCACTATGCTAGCTCATCTGCACCAATAGAAATGCCTTCCTTCTATTAATGCAATTGTTACCCTTTCCTTCTCTCACAAATACCCTCTGCCTTTGTCTCCTACTCGGAACACTGGTTGGGTTTCTGCCTGAATCAGTGCTTCCAAAATAGCTATTCTTTTAGATCTCAAATAAATGCTTGTTGCCTCTCACTTTGGCCTTTTATTTTTAGGTTAACAATTTTATAACTGTTAACTATTTAGATGTACAGTATATAGGCTTCCCTTTGGACTCTTGTCCTGGGTTCCACATTAAGGCAAGACTGTTTTGTTTATAATTGTGTCTCTCCCAAACTCAACTGCGACTTCCAAGTCTGATTTATTTCTATATTCCCAGCATTGGTGTAGTCCCAGTATCATTCAATAATGATTCTTAAGCAACTGCTATGTGTCAGGCACTGTTCTAGGCATGAGGGAGTTAGGTATAAAGGTGAGCAAGACAAACCGAAATGCTATGATGCAGCTCACTTTCTGGTGTGAGGGAGACAGATAATATACAAAGAAACAAAGGTGAGTGGTGATAGCTGCAGTATAGGGTGAGTTACAGAAAATAAGAGGGGTAGGGTAATAGAGAAGGGCTGTGTATGATGTAGGCTGGGTGATCAGGGACCGCTTGTCTGAAGAAGTGACATTTGAGCCCAGACCTGAATAGTAGAAGCTAGCCATGTGATAAATCATTCCAAGCAAAAGGAAAGAAAAGGGCAAAGGCCCCGAAGTGAGAATGACGTGGGTGGTTTGAGGGAAGCATGAAGGCTGGAACAGAGGAGTGACTGAGGGGGAGAGTGTCAGAAGATGAGAACTGAGAAGTGGGCAGGGCGTATGGGCCGGGGCAGGAAATTTTGAATTTTCTTCTAAGTTTGAGGGGGAACCATTGGAGGAAGGTGAAGTGGCTGGGACGAGGGTGGAGCAACATGGATGAATTCAGAATATGTTTTTGGAGGCACAGACAACAAAGCCAACAACAATCCAATACACAGATGGATTGGAGGGGTGCTGAGGAAAAGGAAAAAATTGAGGCTGACTTCTAGGTTTTGGGCATGGAAACTGGAATGGGTGAGTTGTCATACATAGTGGGGAGGAGAAGAGTTGGAAGAAACCAAGAGTTCAGTTTTGAAAGTATTCAGTTTGATATATCAATTAGACTGGAAACTGTTGCCCATGGGTCCAACACCCAGGGGAGAAGTCAGAGTTAGAGATATAAATTTGGGAGACATCAGCATAGAAGTGGTGTTTGAAGCATGGGATTGGAGTTTGTCAGGATCCTAGAGATTGTGTGCTCAAACTGAGTAATTGATGAGAGCCTAATAGAGTTGGTTTACAAAGGTGTGGGGAAACAATCAAAGCATTGTGCACACCCACCCTGGGGTTAGCAACAGCCAAGAGCTGTTACCACCCCTTGGCGTTGGAGACAGAGAGAGCTGAGCAGGGCTGCTGCCTGAAGTGGAGGGACACAGCCAACTGCATCCAGCTGATGGAGCAGGCATGGGATAAATATGTTGACCTCACTCGCCTCTCTCTCTCATCAGCCAACCCCAATGGAAGCCAGAGGGGGAAGGAAGCCCACTGATGCAGGTGAACAGAAGTCTGAGAAGTGATGCGCTGGAGGTAGGAAGAAAACTGGGAGAGGGTGGTGTCCCTGGAGACCAAGGAGTTAATGGAGAGGAAATCAGAGGGGAGCTAATGACTGGGTCTGACAAATAGAGGTCATCAGCGTCCTCGGATGGAGAAGGCTCAATGGGATTGTGGGACCAAGAGCTGGGTAAGCATGGCTGGAGAGGGGCTAGCGGTGATAAAACGGAGAGGCCACTACACTATACAGACAACTCTTTCCAGAAGTATAGCTTTTATCCTTGTTGTCACCTCCCAAGTGAGTAGGTCCTGTTATTCCCATATTACAGACAAGAAAACTGAGCCTTGGAGAAGGCTGGCACCTTGCTCAGGTTATGAGTGGGATGGAACCCAGGTGGGCCTGATTCCAAATTAGGCCAAAGGGGTCAGAGGGAGGAAGGTCAGATGGTAAGAATGAGGGGGGTAGTAATTTGAGATTGGGATCCAGGAAAGAGAAGAATGAGAGGGTGGAAAGGGTAGGCAGAGAGTTGAGAGAAGGAGTGATCAGAGAGTTGGATTATTATGGGTTCCTGAGGCTGGATAGGCCCCTACTTTCTCTAGGTAATTATATCTTTCTAACCAGTCACCCCAGAATGGTTGATGGCTGTCCGGGGTAGAAGGCAGATTTGGAGAGAGCCTGGGGGAAGAGAGTAGACAATGTCCCTGGGGGTGGGTCGCCTGCGTGAGCGCCAGGATCTGGCTCCAGCTGCAGAGAGCTGCTCCTTCCTGCAAGCCTGCATCCCTCTCTGGGCCTTCCCAGCCATCTGGGCCCAAGGTGACCGCCTTTCAACTGCAGCCACTCCGCGCTGTATCTGTCCCTCCCTCTTCCCTCAATCTGGGAGTGCACTTGGCCGCGGACGCCTCGCGGACTTTTCGGGGGGTGGGGGGGGGCGTGTGTGAAAGGTAGCTGCCTCTGGGCTCGGAGCGAGCGGTGGCGCAAAGGTGGGAGCCTCGCATGGCGCCCAAACTCCTGGCGCCCCCTCCAGCCCGAGCTGTGTGCCGCAGAGGTGTAACATGGATGGACAGCTCAGAGGCCAAGGGAGTAGCTGCCCGCTGGCACCCGCTGGGCAAGGCTGGCAAGTCTCCAGAATGATATCTTCTGGGGACAGACACCACTACCAGAGGGCCAGTGGTTCAGAGGCCCAGCCGGGGGGCGCAGCTGGGGCCAAGCCTCCTGGCAATTCCAGCGACGTGGGGCCGAAAAGGTGCCAACGTGGCAGC